CTTCGCGATGGTGTATGGGCCGTGGAATTTGGTCGCCAGTTTCGCGGAGACATGCTGAGCCGCGGACGACAACACATGCTGTCGCTTCAACACGGGTGCGCCGATCTCGTACTGCCGGTCCCTCCTACCCTTGTCGTAGTGGCGCGCTTGGGCCTCCCGCGCGGCCTCCAAGTTTTCCACCACCCATGCTCGCAGCGTGCGCATGCACTCCATGCGTTGGCCCCACTGGCGCGGGTCCGACAATTCGACCGCGATCGCCGCCGCCTCCGCGGGGTCGGTCAGGCGTACCGGATCCGACTCCCTCCCGAAATTTAAAAAGGCGGGTGTCGTTCGGAGGGACGTATGGTACGCGAGTTATACGCGAAGCGGAACTCGGCTAGGTGGAGGTCCCACTCCCGGTGATCCCGCTCCAGAAACGCGGTGATCATCGTCTTAAGTACGCGGTTCACTCGCTCGACCGGATTCGCCTGTGGGTGGTACGGCGGAATCGTCGAGTGGTTAATACCGTACTGAGCCGCGAGGGCCCCGATCTCCCTATTAATAAACTCCGTGCCGTTGTCGGTCAACAGGACTCGCGGCGCGCCCCAGCGGAAAACGACCAGCTCCTCTATCGCCTCGCGTATCTTTTTGCCCGTGGCTCGCCGGAGGGGACAGAGTTCGATCCATTTAGTGAACAAGTCTTGTAGCACCAAGAGATACGCGTACCCGCTCTTACTCGTCGGCAATGGTCCCATTATATCGGCCGCGACCACGGTCCACGGAGCCTCAACCACCCTCCGCCCCACTAATCCGACCGGTACGGCTTGCTCGACTTTTGTTCGCTGGCACGTGTCGCACCGACGGACGTATTCGGCGACATCGCGAAACATTCGCGGCCAGTGATAGCGCGCCGCTAGTCGCTGGTATGTTTTCTCAACGCCGAAGTGGCCCGCCTGCGGGGTGTCATGGTTCGCCCTCACGAGGTCCCTCCGCGACGCGTCCGGTACCACAAACTTCCATTGGTCGAGATCCTCGACCACCTCTGAGATTACGGCCCGCGGTCTCCGGGTATATAAGAGTTCGTCGGTGATCCGCCACCCCGGGTATCGACGCGGATTCTCCTCGACCGCGGCTGCCCGTGCGTCGTACCACCCGTCCCCCGTTATCGCGACCGCGCACCAGTCCTCCTCCGTTTCGCCCACTCGCGACCGGGCGTCGGGCACGTGGTGAAGCACGCCCTTCCGGTGCTCGATGTCGTAATCGTATTCGAGCAGCTCCAACGCCCATCGCGCCAACCGCCCCGTCGGATTACGCAGGTTGTGCAGCCATCGGAGGCTGCTGTGATCGGTGACCACGGTAAATTTATACCCCTCCAGATACGGGCGGAACTTCCGAATAGACCAAATCACGGCGAGGCACTCTTGCTCCGTGGTGGAGTAATTCCGCTCGGCATCCGACAGCGAGCGACTCGCGAAGGCGATCACGCGCTCCATCCCCCTCGATAGTCTGAGTTGAAACGGCTCCCAATCCCACGGTACTCGCGTCCGTCTGCACGGAGAACGGCACCTCAAAGTCGGGGCACGACAGTACGGGCGGGGAAATTAAACGGAGCTTTATGCTCTCGAAGGCGTCCGCTTGTCCCGCCCCCCACTCCCATCGCCGATTTTTCTTTAACAATCGCGTCAGGGGCTCGAGGAGCGTCGCGCAGTCCGGTATTG